CGAGTCCTCAGGCATCCCTCGTGGCCCCTAGAGCCTCCCCAGGCCAAGGAGGTTTCTGGCACCTGTCCACGAGGTTCTGAACACTAAACCTGTTTTTATTTAGGTAACAGAAGTGAGTCTTTGTTCCTAAGATCCAGCTTGGCAGGGTCCGCCCGCTCTCCACAGAGGTCATTCTATGGTGTGGGCGTCCTAGTGGGAAGCATCTGCCCAGCCAGGGACATTTCCCAGCCCGCCCCTTGCTTCTGGCTGGGGCCAAGTTCTTGCAGAAGGCTGAAGGACCGTGAACAGGGGTGATATGCATCACTTCTGGTCTGATGCAGTTAAGAAGCAAGGCTGGCTTCCTTCCCTCTTCCTAATTGATATGGGAAACGAAGGCAGAAGAAAAATGGTTAAATTTCCTTACTACCTACAGCCCATTGACAAGTCGTTGAAATAGGCAGAGTGACCTTCCTCTAGGGACTCAACTGCCTCGATGTTAATACTTTGCTAAGGGCAAAAGGCAATCCTATCCCAACCGCCGCCCCCCCAGCCCTAGATCCTGTAAGTCTACTTTAACATATAAAAATTCCTTTAGAAATTTCCTTTATCTCTAAACCCCCCAGATACGTGTTGGCAATCAACGCCCCCCCCCGCAGGTATATGGCCCATGGATATACATCTGAAGGACCTCATGACTCAGGTTTTATTAGACAGTAATAAAAGACCTTTTCCTAACAACAGCTAGCCCTCTCAAGGTCCTGGAAACCTTGCTTCAAAATTCCTTAGAGACTCACACTATCCCTAACCCCCTCCCAACTTGAAAGTATATAATGGGCCACTCCTCATGACCCCAGTACAGCTATTTCTGCCCACGGGTCCTGTTCCCGTCCTGTAATAAAACCACCTTTTTGTACCAAAGACGTGTCAAGAATTCTTTCTTGGCCATCAGCTTTGAACCCTAACGTCTTTCCTACATCACCAATGAAGTAAAAAAAAAAAATCACTGAGTAGGTTTGTGGGGAGTGGTAACGGTGGCCCGCGCGAGAAGAGCAGCAGAGCATGATGGCAGAGGCAACCCAAGGGGGTCAGAAGATTGGCCACGTACAGGGGATGGAGCAAACAAGCGAATAAACTGAGGATAATGGCATGTGTTTCTCACCGACAGGAGGGAGAACAAATAGGAAGACGGGAAAGTGAGAATGAACCTCGTGGCAGTTAATACAAATCCACACTCTTGGTGGTGACTCAAGGCTTACCACATACAGAGACAGAAACAAATATAGATGTAGGGTCTACTGAGAGGGCCCAGGAGCAGCTACACCTCAGAACAATAAGCACACCTTGTACCTAGATCTTGGCTTCGGAACACCATTTTCCGGTAATCAGAACCCTGGAAAAATGTCTGGTTCCAGGAAAAGTATAAGGCAAGCCCAGAACATTTTTGTTTTGAAGGCGGTGCTCAAAGAATGATGGGGAGATGCCAAAAGAAGGAACAGAGAAGCTAGTTTGAAGGAGCTCCCACTAGCCAACAGACAATTTCGGCCTCAAAGTAAATAGACAAAAGCAATAGACAATTTCAGCATCGAAATAAATAATGACAATAATAGATTATAATCCACTGAAGAAAATATGAATCCATGAGTCCAAACAGATACAATTAAACAAATGGAAGTTTCAGAAAGTTCTTACAACATAATGCCAGCTAATAAATGTAGGACGAATAATGAAAATAAAGAATGACCATTTCACAATGATTAAAGTTATCCAGCCAAGAGACATAATGGGTGATAAACATCGTAGGATAAAGAACAGTGTATTTATATTGCCTCAAAGTGATTCCACACAAAATATTTACTAATTACAAAGGGGGGAAAAAAACCCCACCTTTACAGCGGAGAAACCTAGCACCATCTTACTCAAATGACCAACATTATCATCTGTAATAGGACAAATAAACATCATGTACCACCCAGTAGGTCACAATAAAAAGACGACATCATTAATGCGATATCCCCGCCGAAGATGCATATCCTGAATCTAATCAGGAGGAAGCTTGGACAAACTCAGGCTAAGGCACACTCTCTGTTACCTTTAGGAAGGTCAAGGACATCAGACTCCAGGAAAGACTGAGGAACTGCTCCAAGCAAAGGGGGATCAAAGCCATGGTGAGTGGGTGTAACTCAGGACCCCAAATTGGACCTTTCTGTTACACAGACCATCACAGGGGCATTTGTCAAAAGTGGAATGGGGTGTCTGGGGTAAGGGTGTCTGGGGATTCTTGCAATTTTTCTGCATGTTGAAATTGTTTCAAAATAAAATTATTTTTTGAAAAGCAGGAATGGGGGCGCCTGGGTGGCTCAGTCGGTTAAGCATCTGCCTTTGGCTCAGATCATGATCTCAGGGTCCTGGGATCGAGCCCCGAGTTGGGTTCCCTCTTCAGCGGAGAGTAGGCTTCTCCCTCTCCCTCTCCCCCTGCTCGTGCTCTCTCAAATAAATAAACAAAATCCTCTAAAAATAAAAAATAAAAAGCAGGACTATCTCCTCTGTCTCTTCCCCCACCCACCCGCCAGTTGCAAAAGACGTGGCAGAGGACTCTGCGGTCCCACATCCAGTGACGGAACCACCAGAGGGAAGCAGCCTCGGTCCCTCGCCCACTCCTGCACGAGAGCCCCACTTCCCTTCCTGGTCGGTCCGTCTGCTACTTTGGACTTGACATAAACTTCCATTGTCCGCAGCCGCTGAGCTGGGGGAGGGGGGATCCTTTCCTGCTTTATCCTGACTCACCCACTTACTCAACAACCCGCTGTACTTCTCCACTTGAGGTCTCACACACACCCCAAGGAAACATCTTGCCCCAAAACTCGTTAGCCATATTGTCCTCGTCAGAAACGCAGGTGCATCTGCCCTTTCTCTCGGCGTTGCCCCGCCTCCTGCGCCGTCACGTGGTCTTCTCCGTGCCCACCCGTCCTGCTTCAGCTGTCTTCGCCCCAGCCTGGCCCCATGGGGCCGGTCCCTCAGCCGGCCGTCCTGCTCCTTCCGAATTCCCCTCCACTTAGCGCTGCCAGAATGTGCATGGGCTCACACTTCCTGGTCCCGGTTCCTACTGCCTTCCACCCGGAACACCCTGTTTCCAGGCCATTCAGTACATACCTACTCTCCTCTCAGGGTTCAGCTCCTAAGACACCTTGAGGAGGCCTTGCCTGATCCCCCCTCCCTAAGGCCTTAGGACACAGCCTTCCCTCTGAGTGGACAGAGCCGCCCTGCCCGTCGCACTCATGGGCTGACACACCAGTCTCCCCAGAATGCCGAGCTCCTTGGTACCCACTGGAAGAAATGTTCCCCTCCCACTCCCAGCCGCCTGCCTCAGCCCTGACCCCCTGCTGCCCGCCATTACTTTACCATGGGGTTTCTCTAGAGCTAGCTTTGCCCTCTGGAAGGCAAAGGGACGAAGGGTAGGCAGGGACCTCTACTATTTTGGCAAGGCTCCTGTAAGTCTGAAACTGTCTAAAAAAGCACATCCCCGGGCGCCTGGGTGGCTCAGTCGGTTGAGCGACTGCCTTTGGCTCAGGTCATGATCCTGGAGTCCCGGGATCGAGTCCCGCATCGGACTCCCTGCTCAGCAGAGTCTGCTTCTCCCTCTGACCCTCCCTCCTCTCATGCTCTATCTCATTCTCTCTCAAATAAAGAAATAAATAAAATCTTTAAAAAAAAATAAAAAAGCACATCCCCGTGCACACACATGCACGCGCAGACGCCCACATGCAGCGGGATTCGTTTATTCATTTACAGCCTTTCCGAAGCTGTAAAGGGGAGAACAATCGTCACAGGAGTGTTTGGTCACCGAGTTGGCACTCAGCAGATAGATGTTGGAAACAGAGTACTCCCAGCAATTCTCTCAGCTTAGAATTAGTCCCCCAGTCAAACCCCCGCCATGACATTCAACCTGTCAATGACCTCGTAGTCATTTTTCAAGGGTGGACATGGGTATGCAGTGCGTGTTCTTGACTTGCAGGGCTGGTCTTAGCTCCTTGGGGCTGCCGGGGTCTCATTCATAACTTTGAACTCCCCAACCCACGCCCAGGGCCTGGTACAGGCATGGACACAGCTGGATGCTCTGGAAGCACTTACCGCCAGGCCAAGACCACCACCTTCTGGGGGTTGCGAGCCCCACGCAGTGCTGACCGGCACCATGACCTGAGGCCAGGCCCAGTCTGACACGAGAGTATCCCACGGGCTCACACCCCCACCGAGAAAGCAGGACAGAAAAGGTATATTTCTGTGCCTGGTGGTTTCCTATTCCCAATTCAACTTTTGAAACAGAGAAGAAGATAAAAGAACCTGATACATAGAAGTAGAGTTTCTCCTAGACATTCTCTTTATTCCCAACCCCCAACGAGACACATTCTACCCAGTGAGATCCCTGAGGCCCATTTTATGGGCTGGAAAGTAAAGGCACTGTGTCAGAGTGCTCCTGGAGGTCAGCGACACCCGACTTATGAAGACCCACAAATCCTAACCTTCAGGGACTCCACCTAGAGATGTAACAACCACAAAGACATCCTTTTCATCTTGTCTTTGGTCTTCAGAGCAGGCCTCTCTGCTGAGGGTTTCTGAGGAAGCTCCTGCCCCATGAAGCAGTTGCTCCGTGGCCAGTGGCCATCAGGAGACAGGGGACAGATGCAAAGCCAGGGCTGGGCCTGCCTTCCAGCCTGCGCCCAGCTGTCAGGACCAGGGCTATTGTGCACTGACACGGGGCTCCCCAGAAGGAGAAATAACACAGCTGAGTTTAGTGCCGGTGGGCAGAGTTGAGGGCTCGAAAGAGCATCCCAAAACAGGCTGCCAGGTTGGAGACCCATGGGGCCGAAGGGAAGTCTGGTCCTGACTGCAGAGCCGAACAAGGTGGGGCTGAAGGGGCGGCGGCCCAGCTGGGGTGTGCCCTGTCTGGATCCTGAGGCTGCTACCCTCAGCGTTTTGCTGTGGCGTAATATGGTGGCTCTTCTCTCCGGAGGACTCATGCAGCCTCAGAGCTTGCTCCGCGGGGCCTCTGGCAGGGGCCGTTGCAGCCGCCATACCACCCTCACGGGCTCTGTGGCACTGTCCAGCTCACGGAGGCCGCCCAGGTCACCCGTCCGCCTGTACCACTGCAGAGCCGGCTGCAGCACCGTGATGGGAATGCTGAAGTTCAGGTGAGGGTAGGTGGCCCCTGTGTCATTGTCCCGCGTGTTGCTGGCCACGATGCCTGTTGAGGAGTCAAAGAGGAAAGGGGGTATGAGCCAGGGGACAGACGGATGGGGGCTGAGGCCCATCTCCAGCCCGGAGGCCCTAGGACTGCTGGGGGCTTAAAGCCCCCTCCCAGCGTCAGACGCCCAGCTTCCCTCCTGGCCTCTGGCTCCCCTGCCCCCCCGTGCCCCTTCCCGCATCTACTTTCCCCTTCACGCCATCACTACCTAATACACAGTGTCTCACTGGCTTTGCTACTGTCCTCTCCAACCAACCAGTGTCGGCTCCATGGGCTCTGCCCACCCAGGCTCCCCAGTACCCGCATAACAGCACATGGCCCAGGGCAGCGCTCACCCAAGTCCTTGCTGCCTGAATGAATAAACGAATCCCGCTGCATGTGGGCGTCTGTGCGTGCATGTGTGTGCACGGGGATGTGCTTTTTTAGACAGTTTCAGACTTACAGGAGCCTTGCCAAAATAGTAGAGGTCCCTGCCTGCCCTTCGTCCAGCTTCTCCTCATGTCACCGTAAAACAGTGATCAAAACCAGGATAGTAACCTTGGAGCAATGCCAGTGACTGAAATACAGGACGCATTCAGATGTGGTCAGTGATTCCATGATGCTTTCTCCGTTCTCGGATCCCATCCAGGGCCGTCGTGTCTCCCGAGTGTTCTCCAGGCTGCACCGGTTCCAGTCTTGCCCTATCATTCATGGCCTTGATGCTTGGAAGAGCACAGGTCCGCTGTTCTCTAGAATGTCCCTCAGACTGGGGTCACCTGATGTTTTCTCACGGTAAGTGTGAGGTTCGGCGTGCTTGAGAATAGCATCCCGTGCCCTTCTCCAGGCGGCCTATCAGGAGGTGGATGATGTCTGTAAGCGTTTGTGATGCTAGTGAACCTTGACCACTCGGCTACCGTGCTATCTGCCAGGCTGCTCTGTTGTGGGCTTACTACTTTCCTTCTTGTAAGTACGAACTCTTTTAAGATCGTGCAAAGATCTGATTTCTACCTTCCATTCATCGGTGGCTCCTGTCCACAGCAATTCCTTCTGTGGTTTTCCACTTCCCTCATGTCTTCTGCACTTAGAAACTGGAATTCTCCCGTAAGGAGCAGCCACCACTTGTCTCCGTTTCAGAGTGTCCTCGGTTACTTACGTCAGTATGGACTCGGCCGTTCTGTGTTATCACGGGTACTCTGCAGCTCAGCCTGTCCTCCTAGGAGCTCCTCCAAGTCACCTCTGCGTTCTCTGCTCATTTGCTGTGCCTGCCATTTTGTTGCTGGCATTTCCTTCCCCTTGGGCACCACGAGGTGCTCAGGGTTCGTCCCAAATGTTCCCTGCCCAAGCCCCGGAATGAGTCACTTCCTGGTGCCTCTTATTAGAGAAACCATGATCTGGGCTCTCGGTGTGCTCACTGCAAGTGGGGTGTCACTGCCTCTGGCCTCTCTCAGCACACAGAGCTAGATTTTATGCACACACACATCTATACTTATCTCTACACCCACTTCTCTGTATATGCACATACTGGCTCTGAGTGTATTACCAATGAATCACTAACTGCACTCCAGCGGTTAGGAGAAGAAAGCAGTTGCCCTAAGAGACTTGGGAACACAGGGTTTTGCTGGGACATGTGAAGGCTCCAGACAAAGAGAACCATACACACTTAAACACTATACTCTAGTTGGTAAATCTGAGCCTCGCAAGGGTGTGAGGTAGGGATTCTGCAAGTACTTTATTTGTGTCCCACAGTTGAAGAAATAAGGGAATTCCACTTCTGCCAGCAAGAGCAAGGCAAGGTCTCACCATGTCAGAAGTAAGGGAAGGGGACGCATTGCGTAAGCCGTGGCGGGGAGTGCAGTTGGAGGTATCCACGTGCACTCGCAGTTGGCTTATTTTTTTTTAATGGACAGACTGTTTTATTTTTTTAACCAGAATTAGTTACCAAAACCTTAAAATGGAAAGATTTAACAACCACATTAAAAAAAAAGGGGGGGGGGTCACAGTTGCTAGTGAACAGCTGAGGAATCGGGCAGTGTTAGGCGCACAATCCTTTGTCAGGAGGCACCAGCGTGCTGGAGCGGAGTGCTGTTCACCCCGGGTCACCCCTGACCCGCTACTCCCTACTGTCTTCACTCCCTCATTCATTCACTTGGCCTGTGACTCTTGGACTGATCCAACTGCTGAGTTTCACAGATCCAATGAGATTAGGTGACTTACCCGAGGTGGCGTGCTGGCAGAGAAGGAACGGGGACACACATCTCTCCCCTCCCTGCTCAGCGTCTGTCTCTCTCCACTCTAAGAGCACAAGTACCCAAAAACCTTGGCTCACTATCTCTTGGGCATCAGGCCCACCATCTTCCCAGGCCCAGGGTGGCTCCTGGGGTGGGATGCCCAGCACTCACTAGATGGGACCGAGGCTCTGGCAAGGGGAATGCTGGGAGAGGGCCACGGAGCTGCTTACCCAGGAGGTTTCCTGTGCGGGGGGAGAAGAGGGGTCCGCCACTGGAGCCGCCATGCACAGCACATGTGGTCTGGAGCATCACCGCTGTGTCATCCACCCGCACCACAGCTGACAGGATGCCTGAGGTCACCGAGGGCCCGCAAGCCTGGCCAAAGACCCCGAAGCCCACCACACTGACAGCTTCGCCTGCCCAGGAAGAAAGGAGGGTGAAGGCGGGGAGTCACCTCTGTCTGACAGGACTCACACACTCCCCAACCTGCTCCCTGCCCTCTCCGAAGTTCCAAACCTTCTCTGCCCTTCAGGCTCCTGCCTCCAGGAAGTCTGCCCCAGGTCCCCACAGGAAGAGGCCAGGACGTCCATTGAGCTCCCAGCACCTGCTCACCATTTGTTCTTGGCATCAGGCTGTTCTCCGGCCCTCATTTCCCTGCTGGACCGGGGAGTTACTTTTCAGGGTCCCTGGCACCCAGCCCCGTGCTCAATAAATGTTTGTGTCAGTTAAGTGTCTGCCTTTGGCTCAGGTCATGATCCCAGGGTCCTGAGATTGAGCCCCACATCGGGCTCCTTGCTCCGTGGGGAGCCTGCTTCTCCCTCTGCCTGCAGCTCCCCCTGACAAATAAATAAATAAAATCTTTTTAAAAAATGAAAATAATAAATGTTTGTGACATTAACACCCATCTCCTCCTTGGACTAAGAAGTCTCTTGGTGAAAAAAGGTGGTAATGATGACAACCAACTACCTGCCAGTACTTCCTTTAGCAAGTTCTCTGAATGCACAGGGCTAAATGCTTTGTAGCTCTTCATAATGCCCAGGAGTAGGGAGCATTATCCCCATTTTACAGATGTGGAAATTGAGGCAGAGAATATGGAGTTGCCTGTCCAGGGACACAGGGCTAGCAAGTGGCAGAAGAGATGCCAACTGAGAGAGCTCACGGTGTGCATCCCCACAGTGAGACCTGTGGCACTCCCAAGGTAGCATGCCATGCCACCGGAGCTTCCAAAGTCCTACACTGCTCTGGCCAGCCCGCAGTGGTACAAGGAGCCACCAACCCACGCTCAGCCCCTCCACGTTACACCACTGCAGGCCCTCAGGGAAAAAGGTGTGCCTTAGCCTTCGCCAGGGATCCCACCTGCAACCTCTGCCCCTCCCCAGGACCTGGGGCATGCTGGGCACAGCAGGGAAGCCTCCAAGAGCAACCCCAGCCAAAGCGCTGAAACCAGGCTGACTTCACCCCAGCCTCATGCCACCCTGACTCATTACTCCAGCAGGGCTGGGGCAGGGAGCCCGCCTAGAGGACTGGCCCCCTGATCTAGAGGGTTAGAGTGCTCAGCACTGACTTTGCCTCCTGAGGTCCCCCCCAGACCAGAGGGCCCCTTGCCCTTTACCTTCGTGGAAATGCTCAGCCGGCACCGGCAGGGGGACACCGCGTAGGTCCTTCTCCAGGCTTACTACCGCTACGTCATAGGGGGAGGTCTCCTGGGTGGCAAACGTCACACGTCCCCAGATCGTGGCACTCCTAGGAGCAAGGGAAACAAAGTGACAGGCTAGCTTTCTGACCCTTTAGCACTGGGAGGAAGCAAGGGGATGAGAGTGACTCTAGAAGCCACAGACTTGGGGGTTGACGGGTCTGGCATCAGCCCTGACACGTGCCAGGCAGGCATCTCTGGGCACGCACTCAGCCATCCTGTGGTACTTCCAAACATGCTTCATACTTCTGTGTAAGCCCCCGGTGCCTCCCCATATTCCTGATGCCTGGCACCTGGGGAGCACTGTGGGCCAGGGCAGGTGTTAATGCTCTATGCACACCCTTTTCGTTCTCACCGAAGCCCTAAGAACCAGGCACCAGTGTTACCGCCATTTTAAATGGTGCATGTGAGGGCCAGAGAGGTTGAGTAACTTCCTCAAGGTCACACAGTAAGTGGCAGAAGCCAGGGCACACATTCCCAGTGTTTTCTTTTACTGCCTCATTTCGGGCAAACAATCCTGCCAGTTGGTGAGGCAGACGTAGGATTTCGATCCTGTGTCCCTGTGTTACATAAAGGCCAGCACTTCTATAGCTCTCACTGTACACCAGGCTCTGTTCCAAGACTTTACAGGTCAACTCAGGGAGAGGCAGTAGAGACTGGCTTGCCCAGGACCACACAGGGGCTCCCCGCTACACTCTGCAGGGACACCTTCCAACAGACCCTGTGGACTCCCTATAAGCAAGTGTGTGTGTCCTTGGGCCGGGGGATTGGGCACCACACCTTCGGGAAATCCTCATTACCAGTCTTCCTTATAGAGCCATGGCCGTCCTGCTGGCTTCCAGGGGGACACCCCACGGCAAAGCCAGGCTGGGTTAACACTGGAAATTCAGAAGAGGGATTTGGAAAGGCCTGGGCTGCAAGGCTAAGCTGAGCCAGGCACAGAACCTCAGGCATTAACACCAAGGTGCAATAACCGCTCTGCTCCTAAGTTGAGCACCTGGAACTACCGCAGAAACAAAACGGGTACTAGAAACCCAAGCCAGGAAGCCAAGGCTTCTGTCCCTGCTGCCGGGCAAATGGAAGAAAAGGGGCCAAGAGTGCTTTCCCTGCAGACGTAAGTGACCAAAGTCCCAACCTGGCTGCCAGGATCACCCAAAGATCATTCCAGTACATCTGTGTGATCGGCCCCACTCCCACGTTCTAATTAGGTGGAATTCCACACGTGTCATTTTTATCGGGATGAGAAGTTCTGCTTAAGATCTAAGAGAGCAATCAAGTAAGAGTAAGAGGCCCCTCTCCTGACCCCAGGAAGGCAGCATTCTGGGCCTCTGAGACCCCACTACCGCTCTCAGGGGAGAGAGAACAGGGCAGCGAAGTCTCCATTCAAGGGGCCTAGTGGAGTGTGGGTGCAGGGCTAGGAGACAGAGCAGTCAAAGTTCAAAAGGAATTCAGGCTGGGAGGGGGTGTTCAAAGACGCCCAGTCAGGGATGCTGGGACTCGCCACAGTCCCCCAGTCCAGAGTCGCTTGGCATCTTGCCCAAGCCCCACTCACCCCCTGCCAGGAAGTAGGCCCCGTATCCCCTACACTGGGGTTGAATGCCGAGGATGAGGGGACGGACTCAGGTCTCTATCCGCACTACACCATCAAAGCATCAGCATGACGCCAGAAGGCCTCCATTATCCTCGGTTACGACCTGAGAGCCCGGGGGCGGGAGGCGGGCAGAGTTGGGGCAACCTTGCGGGCCTTACTTGGGGGGCGTGGTGCGCACCAGGACCCTGGCCGCCTCCCGAGGGGCCACATGCCGGCAGGTCACCACGAGGCGGGGCCCCACGGCCACTCCGGAGCCCCAGACGGTGCCGCACTCCACCAGCACGGCCGCAGCTGCCCACGGGGGCCCGGGGTCTCGGAGGGGCAGGCCCCACGGGGCGCCCATCTCCTGCGGCAGGAGGGCGGCCAGGGCGTGGGTGCCGGGGCCCAGGCGGCCGAGAGCGGCTCGGGCAGCGCGCAGGAGCGGGCCGGCGGCGCAGAGCAGCGTGAGGCCCACCCACTCGCGGGCCTTCCAGCAGAGGGGCGCGGCCACGAGCGCCACGAGCGCCCCCGCGGGCCGCGCCGCGAACACGCCGCCGCCCTCGGTGCCGGGCAGGCAGCGCGCGTCGGTGAGCAGCAGCGGGCCGGCTGCGTTGCTGAGCACGCCGCGGCTGAGGGTGTTGAGGAAGATGTCCGGGCAGAAGGCCCCGAACGGGGAGCCGCAGGCCAGCAGCGGCGCGCCCTTGGGCACGGCCCCGGGAGACGCCACGGCCACGACCGGCCCGCGCTCCTCCTCTGCCGCCGCCGCCGCCGCCGCCGCCGCCGCCTCCTCCTCCTCCGGGTCGGGCCGCACGCGCAGCAGCGCGAACCAGCCCAGCGCTCTCAGCTGATCCTCCTCCTCCTCCTCCGACACCTCGTCGTCCGGCGCCGCGCTCGCGAAGCGCCACTGCTCGGCCGCCTCGCCCCCGAAGAGGCGCGCGAAGTGGGCCCGGAAGGCCGGGCAGCTCAGCAGCAGCAGCAGCTCGGCGGGCCGCGGGGGCTGCAGGAGCCGCCCGCCGCCGGGTCGGGCCGGCGGGCCGGGCTCCGGGCCGGCGCACTGGGGCGTGCACAGGCCCGGACGGCCCCGCTCCGCGCGGCCTGCGAGGCTCGCGGCTGCCGGACCCCACTGCACGTGCAGGCGCAGGTCGTCACCGCAACTGTCGCCGGGCAGGAAGGCGGAGCCGGCCGCGGTCAGCGCCGCGCTCCCGGCCCGCAGGAAGGGGGTGAAGATGCCCCCGTGGCACAGCACCAGGTCCGGGCAGCGGCTCAGGATCACCCCGCTGCAGCTCCACGAGCCCGCCTCGGCCTGCCCGGCCCGGGAGGCGCTCACCACGCAGCCCGCCTTCTCGGCCGCCCTCATGGAGGGCCCCCACTGCCGCGCCATGTCCTCCAGAACGGTGCACACGGGGTTTCCAGAGGAACGAGGGAGACACCGAGGACCCCGGTCGGGACCCACGGGTCCCACGCAGCGCCACCCAAAGCTGGAAGCGAGAGGTGCAAACACTGACTCAGGTCTTCCTCGTCGGGCCCGATTGGCTAAGCCCCAACTTGCCCGGCCCCATTGGCTGGGCTTGGGGCCGAGCCCTGATTGGCTGCCTAGGCTGACCCCATCCTTTCCCCGCCCTCGTTGGTTCGGGCCACCTGTGCGACCTCGGCGCCGAAGCAATCCGGGACGATAAGCTCAGGGAGAGGGGCGGCGTGTGGTTTTACCGAGAGACCGGGCTTGGGTGAGGCGGAGTCCCTTTTCTGTTCGTTGGGCTGCGGGAAAAGGAATAGAAATGAGGGCCGTCGTGGCTAGACTTGCCCAGGCAGTGATAGGACCTGAGTATCTGCTCAAGTCTAAACCAGCGGTCTCTGACCCCTGGCATGATAAGGGCAAGGAAATCCTTGGCCGAGTTAGTAATTTGAAATTTTGTGAATTAACCCTACAGCAATCCACTAGGTGGCATGCAGCTCACAGGACTACACCTAGGACCTTTTGATGCCAAAGCCCAAGACAAAACTGATGAAAACTGGGTTTGCGCAAAATAAAATTGCCCTTTAAGACTATGATGAACAGTAACCCGAAGTCAAATTTTTCAATTCTACAGCCCTATACTTTGCAGTGTGCACATCTCATAACCACATATAACATTTGTAACCACACCTAGGATTTATCTAGGTCGGGGGCCAAACACTTTTTCCATGAAGGGCTAGAGCCTCAGTGGTTCAGGTTTTGCGGGCCATACGCTCTCTCAAATACCCGAGTGTGCAGTCGTAGCAGGGCAAAAGCTAAAGGAATGGATTGCTGTGCTCCAGTAAAACTTCCCTTTGGACGCTACAGTCTGAATTTTATGTCACAGGCAGCATTTTCCCCCCACACAGGCCATACAAACACAGGCAACAGCCCAGATTATTGTAGCGCATGTCAGCATTAACAAAAATTATTCAATTACTACTTAAATTACATAACCTTTCTGCCTCAATTTCCAAATAAAACTAATGCTGCTCCAACAAACCTACTGGAGAAAGTTAAATGTTGACCCATCATAGTATGAGGTGGGACTGAGAATAGCAGTCTTCCATAGCAGGCACGGTCTTCTTTTGTTTCTGTGACACAGAAGATGTCTCGAAGATGTCAGGAAAATCTAATTATCCCAACTTCCTAGCAGTTAAGAGTTTCTTTCTCTCTAGAGTCCCGTGATTCTCCCTTAATGACGCTCAAGCCTCCAGCACGAACCGTTCGTTATACGTCAGGTTTTTCTGCTTACAGCACATTAAAGAGTCCCCAGTCACAGCCAGCAGCCAAGGTGAGACCCCTTGAGTGCTGGGCTCATTGACTCAGTCTGTACTTCTCATGTGCCACTCTAACTCAAACGACACAGACATTATTTATAAACATAGAACCCATGGCGATAGAACCCAATTTTGTTCTCATCCAGCTCTGCTTGCTAACAGAGGAAAGGCATGCTCTCCCCAGGTTTATCCTTCACTGAGCCGCTGCATTTGGTACCTGGCAGTGAGAAAGTATGCTTTCCTAATAGGTCAGTACTGAAGACTAACAGTGAGAAATCCGTTAAAGGGTAATACTGTCACTCACCCCTGGAGTGGGTTATCCACACTTTCCCGTAGAACCCATCACTTTAGTAACAGGGACATTAGTTTCAATCACAAGATGACTCTAACACTTTTAATGCTTGGTCAAAAAGGACCTGTTGCATTTTGCTTCCCATTCTATTTGTCCCATTACTTTAGTTTTAGAATCTCATTTGGGTTTTCTAAAAACAAGGCTTCCTACAAACCTGGTAAATGTACAGGCACACATTTCATTCCTTTCCCTATTTTACCAAATGCAGCACTTAACTGAAGCTCTCCAATTTTGTAGAAAATGGTGAATGGTAAACAGTTAAACTGGACCCATTCCTTGCTAGCTAGCATGTTAATAGGAGATTTTGTTTAGAAAGTATACCACCAACCCTGGCATCACATGTTCGAAGCCTCTCAAACGGTACTAAATTTATTACTTTGAAATGTGTGAATTGGCCTAGCCTTTTTTTTCTCCTGGTAGCAAAACTTGTCTCTCATATCCTTTGTATTTCTTCTCCTAGGAAGGAAACAACTTTTGCTTCCCCACCCCCACCACACACAACAAACATCAGGATATGTTCAAACTCAGAACTAACCAACGCAAATAAATGAAAAAATAAATGGCACAAGATAGCAAGTTTGTTTTAACTTTTTATTAAAATGCTTAGGATACAGATTGACTTTCTTTTGTAAATGACGGTTTTAACTTTTCCTGAAATAGGACATATATGCACTCTGATAAAACAGAATGAAAAGTCTCAATTCATTGGAGTTCCTGTACAAAGCTCTGATCCTCACTGTTAAGAGCCAAGCTCCTCACAGCAGCTTCTTTCGCTATCTTTTTATAGAACAGTGTTTTCTGTGAAGCAAGAAATAGATGCCAGCTGACTTTTCAATCCCCTCTTTCTCCAGTGGCCAAAATAAACCACTTTCACAAAGAGCTGAGCTGTGTAGAATCCAGTTTTCTAGCTTGCTACGAAGTGATTAGGGACAAAGAGGAAAACACAAAAACAAAAAACAAGAAAACTAGCACTGCGTTCATACTTCTCAAGTCTCTGGATAAAGAAGTATGGGTTACCTTTAGCCAAAGGAAATTAAAAGTGTGCAACTACCTAGTTCATTCACCATTAGCTAGATTTGTTCATTTAAGGCTTTCACCCCTTTCCAAACCAACAATTTTGTTTTATTCCAGCTCTGCTTGCTAACAGAGGAAAGGCATGCTCTCCCCAGGTTTATCCTTCACTGAGCCGCTGCATTTGGTACCTGGCAGTGGGAAAGTATGCTTTCCTAATAGGTCAGTACTGAAGACTAACAGTGAGAAATCCATTAAAGGGTAATACTCTCACTCACCCCTGGAGTGGGTTATCTACACTTTCCCTACCCTCACATTAGACACAGAATTCCACTGAATTAATTCAAACCTTTGCATCTTCATCACAATTTTCAGTTTTGAGGAAACTACTTCTAATCTCTCATTAAAGAAAAAGGAAGATATCCCCCCATTTTAAGAAAAGGCTCTAATATTGGTTAAGATCATGAAAATCCAATTTTACACATGGCACTAAGAAAAAGGAATGCTATGAAAATGATCCTCATCACACTACTGGGCATGCTGAGGCTTTTTATACTGAGCTCTTAATGATAAGTGACGCTGGCTCAAAAAGAACAACACTACACAAAGTTCTTAGAGTTTCCCCAGCTTATTTCTGGAACGGAGAAAGGCAATTTCATACCAAAAAAAAAATAAAAAAAACCTATAAAAAGAGCTCATGAACAGTCCCATAAAAAAAACCAAATCCTGCAAGTGAGAACTTTAAAGCCCACCAAATAAATCTTTCCTGGATCCAAACAAATGCTACAAATGCCAGATTTTTAAGTTCTCAACTCACAGAATTAAAAGCCCTTCAGCTGTTAACTGTTCTGTGTGACTCACCTATTCAGAAAATTTTCCCCTAGAATCTGTGCAAAAGTAACCGACGCATGCCTGCAGTGTAGGACAACATGGGGGATGTTCTCTTTTATGAGGCAAAAGTCATTTTTTTATAACTGAAAATGAAAGAGGTGCTATGGAGAGAAACAGTTTTGTAACAGTATAAAAGCAAAGACTGTCTGAAATCTGTAGCTTTGAAAGTAAAAATAATAAAATAACCGCTCTATATTGAACTCCTCCCACAGTGAACCAACCATCTGCTCTACACACCACAGTGAGGAATGACCCTGGCTGACCACAGTGGAAACCTGCCGCCACCGCCAGGCCAGGCCCTGCCCTCCCCTGCTCCACTGTGCACAAGGTGGCGCCACCTACTACAAGGCAGTCGGAGAGACGGGGAGCTTCTCTCACTAACCTGCTAACTCAACAGGAGTAACTTCACTTGACTGAGCTCTGGCCTCCAACGTTTCTGTGCATAATTTTATGAAGAATCTAAATGCCATTCACTAGATCAAAAAGAAAAAAATAGAAAACTCTGGACCAAGTAAATTTTGAACTCAAAAAATTAGGAGGGACACCAATTACATTAACAACACTTTCTTTAAAAAATAGAATCACTTTCTTTTGAAATCAACCACAGTGGTGAGACGTGTTTTTCTTTTCAGGTGCCCCATGATGGCACACAGCTGTACCCAGCAAATCCTGCCAGCTTCCGAGTCCCGGGATGCTGCCCCGCACCAGCACATGGGGCAGCGTTACCTCCCAACAGTGTGGAGAAGAGCACATGTCACCACTGGGCGATGGGAGAGCTGACAGAGACTCTTGGCTTCTCAACGCCAGACACGGTTGAAGAGCTTTCCTTGTTCTATTAGAAAAGTTCATGAGGAAGCTGTGAATAGGATCAGTCCAGAGAAGTAAAACTCTTTTATTTTCACTGTCCAAACATCAGTCAATGTACTGGGAAAGCCAGCGGAAGCCCTCGCCGTAGCCTTGCCTCTTGAGCACACTGCACATGAACACTTCCATGGGGCGGGCGTTCAGCTCCTTCAGGGTCACATTCCCCTAAGGGAGGCAAAACCAAGAAAGGCCTGTTAGCATCCACATGGTGGAAAAGCTTGAAAGGGTGATCACAAATCACTCTCTTTATTCCTCAAAAGCAAAGGAAGTAGGAATTAATTATAGAAACGTAGTCAAGGCCATACAGATAACTTCCCCAGAGCTTCATGCTTTCAGCACAGGTCTATTCCCAGATTCTCTCTGTAAAGAACCTTTACTTTGAACACACCATCATCTGGAAAGTTATGACAGCTAACCAAGAAAAAGGCCACTAGGACCCACAGAACCAGCATGCTCTTTGATGGAGAGAAGTCCAAGACTCTTTGGAAATAAGGACATTCTTGGGGCACCTGGGTGGCTCAGTCAGTTAAGCATCCAACTCTTGGTTTCGGCTCAGGTCATGATCTCAGGGTCA